TTCATCCAATTTAAATCAGATATGCAATACTTTTTGATATTTTGATCATTTTGAGTAGCTGATTATAGCATGTAGCCCGAATTTTTTTCACCATGGCTAGGGTACTCTAATATGTATCACTATAAAACATATAAAAATATAATTACTTTGCACTTGTTTATATGTTTGATTGAAAAATTGATTAAGAAACTGATCAATAATTTATTGGCTATAGCCGGCTACTAGTCGAAAGTAGATGATAGCTGACCGAACTCATCCCTACATGATACTGATAGAGCTCGACTTGTCTTTATTCAACTTGTAATACTGATATTCTGCAATCCACCACTAATTATTAGATTAATTAATACTCTTAAACAACTCTCTTAAAATCATAAAATATTTTACAGGTTGAGGTAAACAGGAAACATATTAGGTTTTGATATGTCTCCAGTTTTTTAATTTTTAATTGGATACATATCAGTAATGCAGTTATAGGAATATACTAAATATGAATCAATAAATCTCAAACTTATCTGGTTTTTAGTAGCCGGGGCTACATATAGCCATACTATCAAATATAGTTATTTTAGAAAAAAATTTTGCAGCTATTAATAATTAGAGTTAGGTTTATATTAGGTTAGGTTAGGGTTAGATTAGGGTTAGGTTAGGGTTAGGGTTTGGTGTTAGGGTAAAATTGTGAGATGAGCATTTTTACTTAGTTACACAACAGGTTACCTTAGTAAAATTTTGAGTTATTAAAGAATTATTAAATACAGCTACATGTAGCCCCGGCTACATATAAATTATTCCATAAATCTTATATACAATTAAACTAATTTAATGTTTGTTTATTATATTTGAAAGTTCTATCTTTTATATAAATATTTAAAAATCAAAATTTTAAAAATATAAGAGGTATGTTTTAGTTAGTATAGCTTTGAATTTGGATTTTTTAGCATGCCTTATAACTTCAATAGGCTAATTATTAATATATAGTAAATAAATTTTTAATAAATAACATATTATACAGTAATAAATAAATCATAGGCTAGTAAAGTAAAGTCAACATACCAAAATAATTAAAATGTAGCTCAAAAATCTTTTTAAACTTAAAACTTTTATGCTTTTATAGTATAAATATTAGCTCAAAAAAATATAATATCATATAATATAAATTGTAAAGCTATATTTTCGTTAGCAAGTTCTTAAAATTTTATACAATTTAATATTTTAAAGTGTGTCTAATCAATTTAAAGCTAAACAATCAGTATAGTAAGTAAATTTACCAATATTCTTCAAAATATTAACGAGTCTAACCCAAGCATAATAATCATTTTGTTTTCTAATTTTTTTTTCATTCATCTGATATTTATATTGCAATGCTTTAACAAAAATTTGTGCAATTTTATACAATATAAAATGTATATAATGTATATGCTTATTAATTAGCTATGTTTTATTTTCAAACTGATAAAAATAAAATGGTGCTTCTAAATCTTCTACAAACAATTCAGCCAATTCCCATTTAGCAGTTGGATCACGTACAGGATAAATAGTATTTTCAACAAATTCATTATATTCAAGATCAATATCCAAATCAGAATAATGTTTAGTAGTTAGTTCAAATAAATTTTCATGCTCTAATGATTCAATCCAGGTATCTACAGTTTCATGCAAATTGGTTAATAAATCTTTAGATTCTTGAATTTCTGATTCTTTGTAAGACATACTTTCAGTTTCATTATTAGGCAGAATTACTATATTTGATAAGTATTTTTCTTTAATTGTTTTTGCTTTAGCTACTCGATAAGTATATGCAATAGAACCATGAATTTGACTAATTTTTATTACTTTGTTTGGATCAAGACGATTTCTTAAATCTGAATAAATCCAACTCATAGTAGAGAATAATTGTTCACATGATGCTGATTTTATACAAATACCAAATATAACTTTTGCTACGGTACCTAATTCAGATATACCTGTTGCTACAAGTATCCAAAATTGAAAAATATTTTCTGTATTTAAAAATTGATTAACAGAATCATTATCAAATGGATATTGCTTCTTACGATAATTTTCAAGTTCAATTAATATTTTTACAGGTAATTGTTTAAACCACACCTGATAGTAATAAATGATCCATTTACCAAAATCAATATATAAAAGTCCTGGTATTGTTAAAGAAAATTTTGAATCATGATATTTTGGATTAAGAAGGAATAAAAGTAAAAGTAAAGGTTGTTCCCAATTTTTTCATCTTTTTTTTAAGTGTGCTAACATTTTTTGACCATATTCAAAATCTTCATAATTTTTTCAAAATTTAGCCAAATATCCAAAAGTATGTAAAACTTCATATAATCTTGCAGTATTAGACTGAAGTTTATCTAAACAATTACAATAAGGTGCTAATAAATTTGATAAAGTTTGAATATCATTTCACCAATTGTCATCTTTTATTTGTTGGCAAAAATTATGCTATAAAAATTTATTATTATAACTATAATTATCTCATATTTCTTGTTCTTTAGTAACTTTGAATTTAGTAATTAAAATTTGTAATACATGTTTACTTTTTAGAGAACTTTTAAAACAAAAAAAAATAGCTATTCCAACGTATATCTCCAGGTCTAATTAAAGAAATATAATGTCCATAAAGACATTTTTGCTCATTACATAGCATTCTAATTCAGTATTAGTTTCAGAATCAAAAAATTTAGCAATTGATACAGCTTGTGTTAAAATTAAAAGATAATTGCTGTTTTCTTTAAAAATTTCTTCTACACAAAGATTAATCTGATGTGCAAAACAGGGCAAGTAAATGTTTTCATGATGTTTAATTTGAAGTCATGATCTATATAGTATAAAAAGCTTAATATTAACAATAATTATATTTATATATATTAAATATTAATATATATATATTTAAATATTTACATACAACATTCTATATTTAGAACAACTTTGCTCAGCAGATAACAAAACTCTGTTAGACTGGCTACACTTATTACCTAGAATTTTATATATTCCTAAAGGCAAAAAACCACTCTGGTTTAAACATCTAGAAGATACTATTCTTGAAAATAACTTATCTAGTACTAATTTACCCCATTTTCAACCCAAAGGTTCCAATTCTTTTGCATATCAAACCAACCTTATTCCCAAAACTCATAAACTCTGGGTCCTAACTTATCACAATGAGCATATTGTAATTGGTCAAGTTCGCAGAACTTTATACTATATCTACAACACACTGGCAACACAATATTGACATCTCTATATCTAACCACTATCTACTATCTCCTATTTTTTGCAAACCCTGTCAAGGCTACATGCTATAATCAGCTACTCAAAATGATCAAAATATCAAAAAGTATTGCATATCTGATTTAAATTGGATGAA